TTTTGGACATTTTGACGTATGGGATTTTGGTGGGCGTCAGTTGGCAGTAGGAGACGTTAAATAATCTTTTTTTTCTGTATGTAAATAAGTCGTTGAAAAATAATATTTTTTATATTATTTTTTCCAGTTCAGCGACGACTCAATTATGAATATATATATATATATATATATATATATATATATATATATATATATATATATATATATATATATATATATATATATATATATATATATATATATATATATAAAATGAAGATTAAGCTTATTCATATATTTTTCCAGGAGAGAGAGAGAGAGAGAGAGAGAGCGCTTGCACACAGACAACCAATAAACTAGAATTTTCACTCCTGTCAGTCGTTATATATTGTAAAAAGTGTTTTTTCTGTTGTGGCTGAGATTTGCCCCGACTGCAATTTCTCTGGGGGATTTTTCCCTTCTCCAATCCGCTTTTGGATTTGCGGCAAAGACTGAAACTCTGCGAGTGGCCGAAGAACATGAATTAGAGATTTTCAGAGTAGTGTGGAATATAAAGTGGATTTTGAGGAGGACCAGCGGCTTATGTTGATTATAGGCTTTGTGTTTGTTTTGGCATTTTCTTTCTTATAAACTTTGTTGACAATGCACCAATTTCCTGTATTTTCAAGTTACTGTGCGGTAAAGTTTCTTGGGAATGTATGAATACTTTGAAAGTCTTCTGGAAGTTTGAGATTTGGTTCTTCTGAGAATGAGAAATATATTGTTTGGGGAGGAAGTACAGTAAGGGAGTTAGTAAATGGTGATTACTGGGAAGACTTGTAGGCCTACTATGCGATATTACAAACTGAATCAGACTTATTTGATAGTGTGTGACTCCTCCTGTATCCTTGAATCTGTATTTGTAAAGTATTGATAAATATGTTTGTACAGTAGTCAAGATTATGATAATACTGATGAATTTGCTTTTTATTTATATATATATTTTAATGTGATATATTACTACAGTCGTTAAGGCTCTATTATTTAATACTAATAAGTGTACAATTAACACACTTAACCAACGATTTTAAAAGTGTTAATTAAGGAAAATAATTTAACCCAAAGAGGTTTTTTTCTGTGTTTTTTTTTGTACACAATATTCCACTGACCGGAAGATTAAATACAGTACAGATCTTTTCTGAATAACAATATAGATAGTGACTTTCTGATCAGTGTTATGAAACTATGTTGTTATGAAGCAAAAGTTAAAACCTTGTCCTTTGTGTTGGTTATAGTTTTATAGGAAGTGATCTGGAGTATTTTGGGAGATGGATGACTCCAGTCTCTTACCTGAGGAACATAATCAGTATCTCGTCAGTCCCTTGTTACAACTTCCATAATGACTTTACAACTCCTTTTTTACTGCTTCCGGGGGATATCATTTAGTAGCTATATTATTACCACTAAATTTTTCATAACTATAATGATAGCTATTATTAGTGTTTTCTTTTTTATCGATAGCTTTGGCTAGTCTGTGTATCGTAGATGTAACTATTTATCAATTTAATTTTACGATAGCCTTATATAATATGTTTTTTTATTATTATACCTATAACTTGTAAGCTGTTTGAAATGATAGCTACGATTGTTGTGTTCTACCTTTACTATAGTTTTGATTAGTAAATGTTCTCTTTTTAAATGATAGATGCGTTCTCTTTTTACGATAACTACCAATTGTCTGTTATGCTTTCACGACGGCTTTCCTGACGTTTTATTTACGATATCTATAATCGGTGTGAGCTTTGTCTCTTAACAATACCTTTAGCTGGCATTTTGTACTTTTAACGATATCTTTAAATGATGTCTGATTTTTTACGATAGATGTAACGATTGGGTGTTTTTTTTTAACGATAGCTTTAACAAATATTTTCTCTTGTTCTAACAATAGCTATAGCTAATGTGTGCCTTTTTTACAGTAGCTGTAACATGCCGTGTCTTCTGTTTTCTACGATAGCTGTAACTGATGAACTAATGTGTGTCTCTTGTTTGTAACAATCCTGCTATTTTAACTCTCTCTCTCTCTCTCTCTCTCTCTCTCTCTCTCTCTCTCTCTCTCTCTCTCTCTCTCTCTCTCTCTCTCTCTCTCTCTCTCTCTCTCTCCAGGCTAGTTACCTCGTTATTAGTTGTGTTATATACATCTCTTGTTGAAGACACTAGACACTATGTATACAAAATGAACCCTAATATATTCTAGTTTTGTACCGATATTATAACAGAACAATAAACCCTATAACACGTGACGTCAAAAACAGGCCACTGTGTTTACTACGAGTTTATGTATAGTAGAGTGAGAGAAATTGTTGAATGGTGGGAAGTAAATCTGTCAAATCAAATTATAAAGAAAATGTTAAAGACTCAGCTGGACCACTGAAGAGATAAAGTTATCTATGGGTCATCCTCCTGTAGCTGTTGGTTATAATGTTTTCCTGACATTAACACCTTCACTACAGGGACGCCCATTTTAATGATTGATATGGCTAACGTTCGTCTTTATTTAGCTCGGAGGGGGGGGGTACACAAGGGGTTAGTAACTATCTCCAGTAAGGGTGTTGGGTGTACTGAACAACAGCTGTATCGTACTGTACACCTCCATCCATTACCAACACAACAAATTCCGTCCCCACTGGTTGGTTAAGTAGAGGTGTTGCTGCGTTCGTGTACGTCGAGTTGCGTCCTAATAATTTTGAGATTTTCTTATTATGTTTATGGCTGTAATTGTTTGTACGTCTATCATAATGTGTTTTTTAACACTGGGAGGTGATAGAGAAATGATGACTTTATGGAGGTGATGAAGAACTATTTACCCAAGAGTTGGCTATATACTGCGTTAGTGCTGGCTAAACCAAAGGTTCTCAGTCCATCAGTCAGCCAAGATTGGTATTCATAAAGATAACTGACGCAGCTACAGGAGACGAGAAAACAAAATTGCTACTGGACTTTTAAACTATTGATATATTTACCGACATATTTCTTTATTCTAAGTCTTTCCATTTTTAACATTCTACAAAATCTCCATAATGTATGTGGAAGGTTGATCCAACACTGAGTACCTGAGTTATGGGGTAAGGATAAAAACAATACTAATAAAGAAGAGTAGATGTCAGTATCGTAGAGGACAGGAGGCGCCCAACATGAAGAGGTCACCCCAACACTTAACTTCTTAACGAAATTCGTATCTGCTCAAGACGAAGTTTAATTGAACCCTTTTACAACTGATCTTCAAATGTAGAAGTTCTGTGAGGCACAAGCCAGGAGTGATAAAAAACTTAAGAGGCCTGTCTGTGTGTGTGTGTGTGTGTGTGTGTGTGTGTGTGTGTGTGTGTGTGTGTGTGTGTGTGTGTGTGTGTGTGTCGCACAAAGCAACCGACTGCTCAAAAGTACCTCTCATGACGAACGCAAAGATATATTCTCTTTCGCTTGTCACGAGTCACTTATAACTATTATCTCCGTTCTAAAAAGTATTAGTATGAATAATAATAATGATAATAATAATAATAATAATAATAATAATAATAATAATAATAATAATATAGTAAAACCGTCAAAAATATCTGGATTACTCAAGAAAAACGTATATAAAGCAGATATTAAAACATAATGATTAACACATACAGGTATACAAAAGCGTGTGGGAAGAAGCGTCAATGAATGCATCAGTTTGTCGTTCTCTAAAATGAATGAACTGTGTTCCTGGCCTAGAGTGTCTCTCTAAGTGCGCCAAAAATCGTGCAAGAAATAGATAATCTAGCGAGCCGACCTCTCACTCTGGTCTACTCGAGCATCTGGGAGTATTTGCCGATTTTTTTTTTTTTTTGTATGAGGTGCAACTTGGTCTTTTGTTTTCGACGAACCCGGTACTGCACATTTGGCGTGTGTACAGTATATGTGTCGGTGTTGGTTGGTTCGAAAGTGAGTGATTGAGAGAGAGTGTGTGTGTTTGTGTGTGAGTGAGTGAGTGAGTGAGTGAGTGAGCGAGTGTTGGTGACCTGTAGTATAATGGTCAGCATGCTCGCCTCGCAAGCGACCGAACCAGGGTTCGATCCCCAGGCTGGGTGAAAGTATGGGCAAGTTTCTTTACACCATTTGCCTCTGTCTACCCATCAGTAATTGGGAACCTGGTTGTTGTCCGGTCTTCTTGGACTATCCCTTGACACTGGATCATGCAACTCGTTAGCTCAGGGTGTGGTTGTTGTGTTGGCGACAGCTTCTACACCTAAAACAAATTCACGCCTCGGTGGCCCTAGGGCCGGCCCTCCTCGTTACGCGAGGGGCAACCATTATTATTATTATTGTGTGTGTGTGTGTGTGCGCTGAAGCTTGTTTTGCCTTTTGTATCAGGTTATCGTGCAATATTCGCCAGGTATTGGACCATGATATAATAGTGAGCGAGAGAGAGTTATTTCATAACTTCAATTGTATCATTCTCAGCTGTCTGTTATCCTCTGTTATCGTTTTATATTTTTCTCTCCCTGAATTTTTGTTTTCTGCCTTGTGAAGGTTTTTTTCTTCGTCTTCCTGTTTTCTTTTTTGTGGTTTCTCCCATATTTTTTCTAAATATTTCTTTTCCATATTTTTCATTTTAACTCCCATTTTTAGTGTTCTCCTTCATGCGAATTGCTATTAACCCCTTTTAATTTTATTTCTGATGTTGCATAGATTTTTTCTCTGTCTGATTTACCTTATTTTCTGTTCCACGCTTTGTGACGTAGTTAGTGTATTGATCTGAAACAATACCTTTCCTAGACATATTATGAAAGAAACGAAACAGTAAAAAATAGATGATTGTGACATAAGAAAGGAAGGATACGATGGGAATAATTGATAGAGAATGGAGACAGTAGGAAATGATGATATATATATATATATATATATATATATATATATATATATATATATATATATATATATATATATATATATATATATATATATATAAGAAATACTGGATATAGATTACTGGCCTTCCTCGTCACCAACACCAGCACGTCACCAACACGTCACCAACACCACGTCACCAACCACCAGCACGTCACCAACAACCAGCACGTCACCACACGTCACCAACACCAGCAGTCACCAGCACGTCACCACACCAGCACGTCACCACGTCACCAACACCAGCACGTCACCAGCACGTCACCAACACCAGCACGTCACCAACACCAGCACGTCACCAACACCAGCACGCACCAGCGTCACCAGCACGTCACCAGCACGTCACCAACACCAGCACGCCACCACACCAGTACGTCACCAGCACGTCACCAACACCAGCACGTCACCAGCACGTCACCACACCAGCACGTCACCAGCACGTCACCCACACCAGCACGTCACCAACACCAGCGCGTCACCACCACCAGCGCGTCGCCGTCAGCGCGTCCAGCACCCACCAGTGCGTCACCAACACCCACCAGCGCGTCACCGACACCCACCAGCGCGTCACCAACACCCACCAGCGCGTCAGCAACACCCACCAGCGCGTCACCAACATTCACCAGCGCGTCACCAGCACCCACCAGCGCGTCACCAACACCTTACCAACACAAACACGTCACCATCACTACTCGTCACCCACATGAGTCAGGATAGAGAAAATCAGAGTTGTGAAGCAGCGCTGAGTAAGGTCTGGTCTCCACACATAGCAGGGAAAAGTTTTTGTTGTGTGTTTCGTCAAAGAATTACCAATTTGCTTCCCTTTTACACCTCGACGAGAAACGTTCCCACAGCTAAACGTTTCTACTGTTGTTGTTAGTGTTTTTGGTGTAATTGTTTAATTTTTCAGTGTTTTTGTTATTTATTATATAATTTAGTTTTAATTTATTGTCAGGATCTAATTTGCTTCTTTTTTTTTATCTTGTTGGAATTAAATTGACATTTTTCAGATAAGAGTTTTTATTTTGTTTCCATAATTTCAATAACACAATTTATTAACTTTTAGAAAAGAAAATACACAAGTTTATAAAGCTATCGAGAATTTACAGCTGTATGGTTTTGTTGTGTAATACTGTATACTCAACCCCCCCCCTCCCCCTCCATCCTGTATTTTCATTTGACCCGACGTGTAATATATTTCCAAGTCGAACCTGGAGGACACACGCTCTGCTCCAACCCTCACTTTTTTCAGATAACTACGATAACAAAACGTAGCTACAGGATATTTATTTGGAACTCATGTTATTATAAACCTGTTTAGAACTCCGAAATGTCAAGTATGTTTAAGTTTACACAAGAGCCTTCATGATGACGAAGTTCAGTCATATTAATTAGATGTAAATACTCGTACAGTAACTCTTTTGATCATATAAAACCTATTTAAACTGCAATAATGTTAAGTTTATTTAGTTTAACAATGACGACCAATTGTAGTAGCCTATTAATATTTTTTTCCTTTTAGTAATGCCGGGTCCGAAAAACAAGTTCTTAGTGTCTGAATATGTCTCTCTTAAGTATTGAGTGTTGTTATACTTCCAGGGTTGTTAAAATAGTCAATTTTCCAACCCTTTGTATCTATTGGTACAGTCGGCCCCAGTTCCACCCGTTACAGTGGTTGGCGCGTTTTTGTGAGATGTGACAGGCCTGTTTGTTTACAGTATAGTAAAATTCCTAGGACAGCTCTAAGGAACCTCACCATGGAAGCCAGTCTAATGAGGCATAATAAGCAGTCCACCACCATCTCTGAATACACACATTTCTTCCATAGTTATACTTTTAAGACAGGTTATTAAATAAAACGTCATTGTATTGTATCTGTTATCTGCTAGACGATGGCACTGTCGCGGGGTGCGGTGTAAGGAAAGAGAGGCCCTTTGAAACATACAGTTTAATTTAGGATCATTAACACAATACAATAATACTCTGCATCATTAAGAAACATTAAAGAAGATAATTATTATTGTTGGCGTAGGCTGTGTTAAGTGTGTGGGCGTGGAGGGCTGTGTTAAGTGTGTGGGCGTGGAGGGCTGTGTTAAGTGTGTGGGCGTGGAGGGCTGTGTTAAGTGTGTGGGCGTGGAGGGCTGTGTTAAGTGTGTGGGCGTGGAGGGCTATGTTAAGTGTGTGGGCGTGGAGGGCTGTGTTAAGTGTGTGGGCGTGGAGGGCTATGTTAAGTGTGTGGGCGTGGAGGGCTGTGTTAAGTGTGTGGGCGTGGAAGGACATACATACACATACATACATTCATGCATACATACCACTCTCTTGTTATGTTATTCTCTGATGTGCCGGTCAGTCTGAAGCCTCTGATAAGGATGAAGAGGAAGCCCTTCACAGTTTATTGTCCCCTCGTTGAGCAGCTCTTACAAGGCTTATAGTTGATAAGGTTAATGCATCCCTCTCTCCCTCGCTCCTCCCTCCTGCCCTTCCTCCCTCCCTCCTCCCTCTCTTCCTCCTTCCCTTCCTCCCTCCCTCCTCCCTCTGTCCCTCCTTCCCCCCTTCCTTCTTTCCTTCCTTCCTTCCTTCCTTCCTTCCTTCCTTCCTTCCTTCCTTTTTAAGATTTATATTGTGTAATCTATAAACAATACTTTCCGTAAATAAATATTTTCGTCATACTTTCTACCCCACCCTCTGTAAACAAGGCTTTCCATCCAGAGAATATATCCATCATATTTGTCTATTTCTCCCAGATATATTCTTTGCCATGCTTTCTTCCCAGTAGTTTATTCTCTGCAAACACGACTTTCCCATGAATTAATAAATTGGTCTCGGGTTTCTTTGTAAATCCGCTATTGAGTATTTTCGTCATTCTGTTTATCTCTTGTTTGTGTTTCTTGTTTGTGTTTGTCAGTTTTGTAATATAATCTTTCGTTGGTGTGTTTTTGTTGTTGTTATTGTGTACTTCAGTCACGCAGTTAATAATGGTAATAATGGTCGAGGCGATTAAAAAAAAAAAGTAGTCGTCTCAGTAATTTTCACCCCTTCCTCCCCGAGTATGATTATGAATTTCCACAACTGTACCATTTAAATTCCATACTTTACTTCACACTGGTCTTTAAATGTCACACCATGTCCTTGAATTTAACTCAACTGGTCTTGAAAATTCATTCCTGGCGTTTAAATTCCACACATGGGCCTTAAAATTCAACACATGGGCCTTGAAAATTCACACCTGGTCCATTCAACTCCACACCCGGGCCTTTACATTCCACACCTGGGCTTTTAAACTCTATATCCATGCCTTTACATTCCACACCTAGGGCTTTAAACTCCACCCTTGGACATTTAAATTTCACACTGGACCCTTAAACTCCACACCTGGACCTTTAAATACTGCACATGTATCTTTAAACTCCACACCTGGGCCCTTAAGCTCCACACCTGGGCCTTTAAACTTCACACCTGGGTCTTTAAACTCCACACCTGGGCTTTTACATTCCACTCTGGGGACATTTAATCAGTGTCACTTACGAGGAGCCGCCGTCGCCACGTGCCCACATGACAGGTTGTCTCACATTAACTTTTCATACGTTCAAGTTTGCGGGGGATTTGCCAGGGTAATGAGGCGAAATATTTTGGGCGCATTTAACCACAGATATATTAGAGAGAGAGAAAGAGGGAAGAATGGGGGAGGAGGGAGAAGAAGAGAGGCAAAAGTAAAATTGAAATAGAGACTGTGAAGACTTATATTTATATGCATAAACGTACGTGTGTGTGTGTGTGTGTGTGTGTGTGTGTGTGTGTGTGTGTGTGTGTGTGTGTGTGTGTGTGTCCACTTTCTTTGATGTATTTAGTCGCTTATTGAGCTTGGCTGCTCATACAGCTAATTTGTTTTTAGAAAATAAGAGCAGATTTACCTTGGGAATGGCTGACAGCCACATCAGTTGTGTGCCAACACAGATGATGTTGTTAAACACATCAGAAGCACTGAAAGTCGGACGGGTTTGGGGGGAAACACAGTCTCCCTACCCCTTTTTCCCCTGAAAACTCCGTTTGATTGAATCTTCAGTCCGTTCCACAATAAGACCTTTTTTTTTCGCGTGGTCGAGGATGTAGTTTATCTATTTTTATCTCCTTTGTCGACCCAGGTTTTTGGTATTTTATAGGAAACTTAAACTTTGTATTTTTTTTTCGTTGGAGTTTAACCAGTTAGGAATCCTGCGTATTTTAATGTGTTAAACGTAACACAAGACGAAGGTGGTGTGCCACAGTCGAGACGGTCGGTCTTGGCTGTCCTTGTTATTATGGTACACAGGATGTTTGAAAACACACACACACACACACACACACACACACACACACACACACACACACACACAGTCAAGGCAGCCTCGTACCGTCTCTACATGCTACGAAGACTTAGGTCACTTGGGACACCCACGCCAGAGCTGAGAACCATCTACAACGCCTTTATTCTCCCCAAACTAACGTATGCGTCACCAGCCTGGTCGTCTTCTCTCAACTCCACCCAACAACGTCAGCTATAGAAGGTACAGAAAAGGGCCTGCAGAATCATGCTCGGCGCAGAATACTCTGGCTACACCAACGCTCTCTCCACCCTGGAAATGCCATCCCTCAGTGACCTCCACCACCAAGCACTGGAAAGGTTTGGCCGTGGACTACTGCACCACCCTCGCCATCGCCACCTCCTGCCACCTGCAGCCCCCCACCCAACTCGCGCAGTCCGCCACTACAACAAAATTCAGCCCAGAAGAGCCCGCACTGATAAATATAAGAACAGCACCATCTCATCTATTGTTAAAATAATAAACAACTCCTGATTTATGTACTGTACAGCCCTGTAAATGTATTCAATGCATATTATATCATTATGTCTAAATCAAATGTAAGTCTGTATATTTTCAGCCACCGGCTGCCACTCTATTTATAAACCGTTTATTATTATTATTATTATTATTATTATTATTATTATTATTATTATTATTATTATTATTATTATTATTATTATTATTATTATTATTATTATTATTAAACACACACACACACACACACACACACCGTAGGCTTGTATTTCTCGAAAATTTCTGGGTATTTTTTGAAGCTGTGTAGAGTGAAGCAAAGTTCAAATGCTAAAAAAAATCAAATTAACTCGTATGATATTTTAAAGCCTAATTGTAAATAATTATTTTACACCCGCAGCAGACAGTAAATATTTTGTTACCACCCAGTTCGCGGAATAGATTTCAACCTCGTGACAAAAGGACGTAATAAAGTTATTACTGTATAATCAATGATTAAGAAATTGCTGATAATTTACAATTTCTCGAGTGTGACAAAGTTATGATTTCGGGGCGGCAGACGTGATGATGCAGAGGGAACAGCGAGATGGTGATGCTTCTATCTCTTATAAGTATTCTTATTTCCCAATCATCTTTTAGTTTTTATCTTTTTTTTTTTTTTTACTAATTATGAGGTCTAAAATTATATAAATTTAATGAAAGACAACACCAGTAATATATCTAAAGGTTTCTTTATTATAGTGTCTAATGATAGGAAAAGATGTCGACATCCTGGCGGTAGTTGTCTGCATGAGGGAGGAGGTAGGCAAGGTAAGTGGGTCACGTCCAGGGCGATATGCCAGCTAAACTAAGAGACACACCTGGAGACAATTAAGAGACTAAGACCAGCCTGGGTATGTTTAGAAGCTTTCCATATCGAACTTCGATAACGCAGGAGGTTCTTGTTTGGCCCCGGGGCTCCTCGCTCACGGCTACTGTGGGTGAGAACAGCGCCTGATACGGTACCCAACGACCCCCACCAATTTATCTCCCTTGACCTCCGTCTCCGGTCAGTACTGTACCTGACCTGTCACACCAGGTCTTCCCAGAATGACGCCAACAATAGACTCTGGTTGATGTGTAAAGACCATCATAATTGTTATTTTCAAAGCTACATCATTAATATGACCCAAGTAATATCTTACTGTAGAGTAATATCGCGTTATATTCGATTTGTTAATTTATTGTAATATCACATGTGCCAGCGTCTGCCAGCCATAGCGATAATTGTCTTCCTTTGTCACTAGGTTACTGTGACACGTCACATCCACACCCGTGTATATAGAAGTTAGTAATGTTTAATGTTTGTTGCCGTGTATATTGTTAAAACTGACCGACAGTTATTTGTCAGTACTCAAATGTGTACATAAGCTTTTGTAATGATGTACTCTTTGTGTGGGATATAAATCTCCATAAACTATGCATACCATTTTCATTATAATTAACATTTGCCTTTATTCAATGAAAAAAAAAAGAATTCAAGCTATCAATAATTTTTATAACATAACCGTTTTATTATTATTATTATTATTATTATTATTATTATTATTATTATTATTATTATTATTATTATTATTATTATTATTATTATTATTATTATTATTATTATTATTATTATTATTATTATTATTATACAGCTATCCGAGTTTGATTGAGCTCTATGGGAATGCCAACCAATAATCGAATTGGATTCTCAACAGTGAGTGTTTAGGTATGTTGACATCTTGCCTACAGTTTTCCTGTGGAGGCTCACCTGTCTCACCGTCAACACCCGTGTTATGTCTCCCGTGAGTGTAGTGCGTAATGAGTTATAATCATGTTCAAATTATGTTAATTGAAGGATCCCACACCACAGCCAACGGTTAACTTCAAACCTCATCATACGTAATCAAGTGACAGCACCCAGAGTCTACGGTAGCTATGATCCAAGGTTAATCCCAGGCGACTTTGTCCATATGAAATCCAGTTTACCTCAAATAAACATCGGAGAAGGCAGCGCTTGTGGAGCTGCTGCAGCTGACATTTCATACGTCACCTAAGAATGTATCGGTATTGACTCATGGGTGGGAGTGAGGAGGTAAGCAAGGCTGGCATGTGGGGGGAGAGACGCCAGGAAGTGGGTGAGGGGGATTGTCAGGAAATAGAGAGGGTGATAAGGGGGAGGAAGAAGGTGTAAAAATAAGATAATGTTAAGGAGGGAATGAAATATAAAACAGGTGGTGATGTAAGTGTAGGGTGATGTACTCGTAAGATTTCTGGGAGATGGACAGTTACTTATTAGAAGAAGACAGGAGAGATAGGGGGGCTGAGAGGTTGGAAAAAGAGTAAAGCAGCGGGTTGTTTCAGGTATTGGGGAGTGAGTATTAAGAACTGTGCGATGGTGTGTGTGTGTGTGTGTGAAGGAGTAAGCGCGTGTATTATATATTCCCCTTGTGTGTGATTATGTGAAAGAAAGATTAATGGATGGATTAATCATACAAATAGACGAGAAAGAAGTAGGACGGGCGAGGGAGGGGAACGCAGGCAAGCAGGCAGGCAATATATATTCTCAGGCACAAGCAGACAGCTGCGTAAATATATCGACACCCTGAGGTAGAGCAGCAGCGTGAACACTGAGGTTGGATATTAAAGTAACCAGGTAGGGATTAACACAGGTGGGAGCGTGCAACAACAGTAGCACAAAGAGTTAACTGAAGTACCTGTACAGGATCACTTACACAAGCACACACACACACACACACACACACACACACACATATATATATATATATATATATATATATATATATATATATATATATATATATATATATATATATATATATATATATATATATATATATATTAATAACTTTGTTATTTAGTGTAACCTTTGAAGAGAGCGACAGAAGACTGAGAGTTGATAAAAAATACACCCAGAAAGAAAGTCAGAAATCTAAGAACGAAGACTCAGAGAGCAAAGAAAATATAAAAATATCTACTGCTACAGAAGAGCAACATGGTGACCTCAGTAGAAGGTTTGTCAAAAGCAAGTGGCCGAGCGATAAAGTCATTTAGTGATGGAGGACCTGGTGTGTGGTCAGTTGTACGGGCCTGGCCATTTTGCACAATGAGCCGTACTCCAGTACTGCCGGCCTCGCTGGGTACGACGCCACTCGAGTTCCTTCCACTTGTAAACTTTCGCCAAGTGATTACGACTCAAGTGCTGCATATATTGACTTCACTTACTAATCTCAGGCATCATAACCGATGTTTTTACTTGTTTTTGTTTAACCCAAAACTGTAGACTGCCTAAGGGCTTGCCAAAACTTTCCATCACAAAATTGAATTAAATAACAAAATGTCTGGTTCATAACTAATTACATATCATAATTATCATCTTCAAGCATCGATACACGATACAGGTACCGTAATTTGTTCATAATATGTAGTGTATCGCACACCCTCTGCTCCTCTCACTCCCTGTGATCCTCGCACTCCCTGTGATCCTCGCACTCCCTGTAATCCTCTCACTCCCTGTGATCCTCTCACTCCCTGTGATCCTCGCACTCCCTCGCACTCTGTGATCCTGTGACTCCTCGCACTCCCTGTGATCCTCCTCACTCCCTGTGATCCTCTCACTCTGTGATCCTCGCACTCCCTGTGATCCTCGCACTCCCTGTAATCCTCTCACTCCCTGTGATCCTCTCACTCCCTGTGATCCTCGCACTCCCTGTGATCCTCGCACTCCCTGTGATCCTCGCACTCCCTGTGATCCTCTCACTCCCTGTGATCCTCTCACTCCCTGTGATCCTCTCACTCCCTGTGATCCTCGCACACTACTTGACCCCCACAAGGACACTAAAAGCAGTCCTAGACTCTGTTATATTTCACACAAAGCCTGTTCATCGAGCTGATGGCGCCGTGAACCTCATTGGGAACCGCCCGTGCCTCGTATGTGGTGTCAGTAGCATTTTACCGAATCCAGCTGGTATGAAATACGAGGTACCATATATATACTTCATTTTTAGTCCATATAACACGCGGACTTTGAACATATAATCAACGACCTCACTAGCCAGGAATCGAACCCTCGACCTACTGGGTGGGACTAGGGAACGCTCACAACCACCTTAGTATATATAACATGTTTTAGAGTTGCAGGAAATATTACATAAAATAAACTAAAGTTAATCGCCAAGTTTCATTACAAAAACAGGTAATAGTATTCAAATGGCGAGTAGGTACAATTTACTCGCGTTTCCAACAAGGTCTCATTCACTACCACTGTGTTACTCTGTAATGCTGGTCGTGTACAGCCACCTGCAATTGTTTTATTTTTTCATTAATTTTGGAATAGTCTGTTTTATACTACTACTACTACTAATAATAATACCATTACTACTACTACTACTACTAATATTATTGTTACTATTACTAATACTATTTTTTTTTAATGAATGGCCTCCAGCCTCCCCCAATAGTCATAACTTCGCCACCATTTTATTACCTTATATTAAATATCCTAATACATAAGTAGCTACCCTAGCTGTGTTGAGTTAGTTGAGCCGCAGATCTATGCGGCATTCAGTGACTGTTGCCTCATAGTCAATATCTGCAACCGTTGTCGGCTTTGGGGTCCGATGCTCTCGTTCCACTGAGACTTATTACCTACTACTTACTTACTATTTAGTACTTACTTACTATATACTACCTACATACTATCTACAACCTACTATCTCTTTACTACTTACTACCTATTTACTATCTGCTAACTACCTACTTACTTTCTACTTCCTATTACCTACTAACAACACTACTGCTACTACTACAAGTAGTAGTAGTAGTAGTAGTAGTTTTAGTAATTATATAATTATTAGTAGTAGTGGAGAAGGTATGGCTGTAAGGGAAGGTTTGATAGTAGTATTAGTAAGAGTAGTAAAATTGGTCGTAGTTTTTGTTGTTGCTGGGCAGTGAAGAATCGTAAAGCAATAAGGATTCTTCGACAATTTCCCAGGGTGAGTGACAATGGCCCCTCAAGTGTGTGTACAGAATGAGTGGCGTTAAAATATTAAGAGTTTCAGTAACTTCTATATTTGTCTTAAATTGTTCGTTATCGTGGCGGAGTTTAGATGAAAACCTTTTATGATGGATTAAACCACACACCTGGTTCACCACACACCTGGTTCACCACACTCCACACCGCCACCACACTCCACACCACCACACTTCACACCACCACACTCCACACCAACACACTCCACACCACCACACTTCACACCACCACACTCCACATCAACACCACACTCCACATCAACACCACACTCCACACCACCACACACCTGGTCCACCACACTCCACACCACCACACTCCTTCTAACATATCCATTTAATCCACCATACTCCTTCAACCACATCCATGCACACCACCACACTACTTCAACCACATCCATTCACAACCACACTCCTACCACATCCATTGACAACCACCACACTGCTACCACATCCATTCACACCACCACACTCCTACCACATCCATTCACAACCACCACACTGCTACCACATCCATTCACACCACCACACTCCTACCACATCCATTCACAACCACCACACTCCTACCACATCCATTCATAACCACCATACTGTCTGTCTGTCTTTAGTGTCAGAGATATCACACAATTCTACCACATACGTAACTTTTTGTTCAATTAATAAGGTTTTTCTCTATGTTCAATTATCGCTTACATAAAAAAATCAATAATGCCTTTTTTTTTTTTAATTCTCGTGACACAAAAATAAAACAGTATTTTTTCGCCGACCATAAAATTGAAATGTATTATAATGAATGATTTCTTAGGATATTGATGTCTGTATGGCATTACTGTCCAGCAGGCGTTCACTCTCCCCGTCCATCCAAAATATTGTAGTTCGTCGCTCAGCATTACAGGGTATAGGGCCTTTTTTTTTACGGACACACGAAAACTTTCACTGAACTTTGTGACTATATATTTCAGATGGGGAAGGACAAGTGGAGAGAGATTCTTGTCCAGGGGAGTACCATCCACCCTCGTTCACCCAGAAAATAGACAGCTAATTAATTTATATTTCAGTACTGTCGTTTCATGAATGATTAGCACATTTTACAGATAGGGTGACAGTGATTTTTTGAATTGTGTTATAATGTTGGGTTTCTAAAAATGAAGTAGAACTCTAACCTTATAATTTTTTTTTATAATACTAATGCCCTTTTTATTTAGTATTTAGTCACATTTGAGCTACAGTCGTCACAAAAAAGTATTGTTAATATTTCCGTCTTTACAGTTTGAAATGCTGACGAAATGTTTTGATAAATTATATTCCTTAGTGCATCGTCATATGTTGGTATTTTTGCTCCCCAATATTCAAATATGCACAACACGTGTAATTATGACATTTCTACAGGAATAAAACTTAAATTATGATGATTTTGATATTCTGGCACTTCTCTGCATGAAGGTGTTATCGAATAATTTACACCACAGAGTAGATAATGGTGTTTACCAATATCTGTGGTCGACTGTACCAACCGTTCCGAAACTAGTGGACGAACACCGCTCACAAAACCATGAATCACATCGACCTCAGGGGTAACCAAATTTTTTTGTGTGGGGGAGGGAATCGTACATGAAATTCACTGGACAGGTGTGTTGGGATTATAACATGCCAGCAGGTAGACCTTAATAAAAAACAGTACTGGAGCAACAACGTCTATAACTTCAGTCAGGCTCTCAGCGTACTCGTGAATTATTAACGCAATAAACCTTTTCTTTATTAGTTCTTATCCCGTATGGCCACGCACTGATCAAATAATTTACTCGTATTTCAGTGTTAGATATTCACTCTGTATATTTGTAATAATTTGATGAGTATATTACACCTCTAAAAGCAGGTTGTTATGAGTGTGGATCATGCGACACTTAATAAAACATGGTGTACTGGGGTGTATTGAGGTATCGAACCTTTTCAATGGCACCTACGTCCAGCAGGCATCGCTGGTAGTGTGGTCACATGCTTATTATTTGAAATAAATACTAATTTCTATCAGTGAAGCTCGAATTGCGACCCAGGGAGTAGGGGGTGATGAGCTACCGAGCACCGAGACTTGGCACAACCAGTCTGAGGGTGTAGTGATGCTGGAGGGCTGGGGAGCGAGAGAAGTTTCCTTTAAGAGAAGCAATCACTTAGTCATCTAGGACGCATTCATAGAGCTGACTGAGGCAGCTAAAAAGCATTAAAATTCTTAACTTATTAACTTGAAGTTAGAGGTCGTCTCCCTCATCCAATATTCATATGCCAGCAAATTGTCTGAATTGTTAAGGTGGCCCTTATAAGACAGTAATCATGTATGGTAAATTGTCAAGGAATAGTCCGAGAAGACCGGACACCTCGCCAACTGCACCGGCTAACCATTACCCTGGAATACGATCCGCAAATCGCTTTTCTAGTGTGATAGTGTGAGTACAGGTTGTCATGATAAATGGTCGTTTAGGGAGGACTAATGAAAGGGATACAGATGAATAAATGTTGTAAAGACCATATACCGTATATTGTCTTCATTGGCTGTGTCAACAAGTCTCACAGCTCCTAAATATACATGACACTCAGATTAATACGATTGTTATCCAAGTTTAACAAGGAAAATGTCAATAATTAAGCTCGTCTCATATACACTTCTTATTATACTGTATATACACTTCTTATTATACTGTACTTCGTTATCTGGTTAACTTGAGTGTAATAATAATAATAATAATAATAATAATTAACGGTTTATTGAAAGAGCTTGGCAGCCAGAAGGCTGAAAATATACAGTTACATATTTGGGGAATGGGTTTCGAATTACAAATAATATACAAGTAACATAAGTGACACAAATAAGACATATAATAACTAGATGGGGAAAAGCTCAAACTACAGTTCATTTCAACATAGTGACAGTGCAAGGAGTAGTGTTTACTGGGTGTGTGTGTGTGTGTGTGTGTGTGTGTGTGTGTGTGTGTGTGTGTGTGTGTGTGTGTGTGTGCTTGTTTGTTTGTGTATTTTGATAATTTTTATTATAAAAAAATAATTGTCAGCTAGTATATGTTGTTGGTTACGTTGGTAAGATAGCGTGGTGATGGTCGTCAGTTACCAACACACGCTAAACAAGCGGACCTCAATACCAACTCTGGGTCGCCTACGTCTGGACTAATGTGAGGAGAATATTTAAACATTAATTTATTTAAGTGTGATTAAAATAAAGCTTTTGATACACAAGCGAAATTAAACGTAGAGAAGAAGTTTTCTTCTAAAACATTTTATTACTAGTTCTGTAAGGCTCCATTATTTTGAAAACACCGAAATTGCTTATTTATGAAGTTAGTAGTGAAGTGTTATGGAAGAGACTGGAAGTAATAATCAGTTCTCACACTCACGGAATAATAAAAAATGTATATAAGATGGTCAATGTCCTGTGTGACGGAACATATAAAAGAGTGAATCGTCAGGTTATGTACAGTAACACATGTGACAGTGAGTTTGAAACGCCTCTTACCGATCATCGAACACAGGTAAAGTTTATGTTGCAATTTATAGACCACTAAACGATAAGTTTTGGTAGTCAATTATTCATGTGTGTAGGAAGGTCCGTCGGAGCTTGTGTATTAATTATACAATTTTTATTGTTCGTGCAGTGTGTCTGTTAAGAAAATCAAATTTAAGACTCATATATCATGATATTCGCCATCATAAATGAGGTTCATGTGATGTTATAATATTTACATAAAATATTTATCAACATAATGCGTGGACAGTATATGTTTTATGTCAATATAAATATCAGTTGCGTGGTGGTGTGTACTCCACTCAGCCCTGTTTGTGTACGGCAAGTGTCGGGAGGGCAAGGCGACGTGAGTGGTGCTGAAGCATACGGGTCCCGCCTTCACCACCAGGCACCATGGTCTGATGACATATGTTCACATCCATCTTCATTCCATTACCATCCCATTACCCTTCCACGTCGTCCCTCCGCCCCTCATACAGCCCACCCCGGAACTCTTGCCCACACTTGCATCTCGAGGCGGCATACAAATGAGCTTTTCAGTGACACACATGTATAGAATTATGCAAATGTTAACATATTCCAATTATACCCCTCACACTCATATAGGGGCGGCCTAGTGTATCCTAGCTACTCCGGTAAACAGAGGAATGTGTCTCTAAATTTCGCGTCCTCCATATCGAAAGTTATCATGCAAGGGATGGTAGAAGTCGTAGGCATAATAATAATAACCCAACATTAATGGAAATGTGATAATGTCATATTTATTTCCTAGTAGACAATATCAAAGCCAATTTATCATTTATTTTGGCCAGAAAACCAACTGTACAGGTCCAGTATGAAGACAATGTATCCATCATCTTTATTGTAACGGCCATAAAGTTTGGACCAAAATGGTAAACTTTCCAGTTCAGTTCAGTTTTGGCGTTGGTAAAGAGTAATGAGATGGATGGAGTCTATTTACTATTTTTGTCGCTCCAAAATGTATCTTTATGGAGGGATCCGATGAATTTCAAAATGAATACCGTGACTCCTGTTGTCTCGGTAGGGTTGTCAAAATCCTTCGTCCGTCGTTGTGTCATATTTTCTCTCACAAAATCGTAAAGATTAATTACTGATATACACACAATACTGTTGCCTGGGATCTCCTCCTCCATAATCATCATCAGTCAACCAAGACCGACTGGTGTAAGACATTCACATATCATACATCGAAAATGATCAACATTTTAGAGGTAACGTAACATTTGTGCATTCATCAGTGCCCTTGATGATGCTCTGGTCTTCTGGGGGAAACATTGTTGTGAAAATTGTGAGAGTTGTGGGCGTTATGTTATTTAGTGAGGAAGCAACTGTTGTGTGTGTGTGTGTGTGTGTGTGTGTGTGTGTGTGTGTGTGTGTGTGTGTGTGTGTGTGTGTGTGTGTGACTGATTTAATCAACAAGTCCTCGTATGAATACAAAGATTGCGTCCAAACATTTACATTTGTGTTAAAATTATGTCAACATTAACATTCATACTTCTCCATCTGCTGGCCATTTGGTATGAGAGTTCCTGTGTTCATTCCTGATAGTCTTGTGAGGTTAGAGAACAATGACGATGCCGCTGCTTGATTTAAGTTATATATCCTGACCCTCAGAACTAATGGGTGTAGCTTGCGAGGTCATTCACATCTGATGCTAGAAGCTGCCACTAAACCAGTTATTTTACGTAATGACTAAAATTTACTCTAGCCAAGTTGTGGTAGCAGGTTACGGTAAATAACACCCATTATGCAAAGTGCCTAGTTAACGACCGGTTACATAGATTGACTACCAGCATAAATCTACGATGCTTTACCTAACAGATTCAAACATTTTGTCTCAAGACAAGATCAAGACGTATCGCATCATTTATATCAATATTAGCTTAATGACCCTCTGGGGTATACACGAACATAGCTGCAGGTAGGTGTGTGTGTGTGTGTGTGTGTGTGTGTGTGTGTGTGTGTGTGTGTGTGTGTGTGTGTGTGTGTGTGTGTGTGTGTGTGTGATAGTAATAATAATTAATGGTTTATTGAAAGGTTCTGTAGCTCGAAGGCTGAAAATATACATTAGGCAAAAATTACTTATTACATACAAAGGACATTGGGTAGGTCGTTTAACAAAAGCTTTCATTACTAAAAGAGATGGAACATGAATTGAATATACAAATTAATATAGTTTATAGTTGATGGTTTTGGGTTGGTCTCTTGCCCTACTGTGAGTCACGTAGGCCACGTGCTGCAGTAACTCGTCCATTGGTGTTGACATAAGAACATAAGAACATAAGAAAATAAGGTCTGCAATAGGCCGGTTGGCCTGTGCATGGCAGCTCCTGTCGAGTACTACCACTCTCTATCATCCATGAATCTATCTAGCCTCCTTTTGAAACTTTCCAGAGTTCGCACTTACTACAAGGTTGCTAAGCTTGTTCCACTCGTCCACCACCTATTTGTGAACCAGTTTCTTCCTATCTCCTCCTAAACCTAAACTTATCCAACTTGAATCCGTTGCTCGAGGTCTATCCTGCTCGGATATTATAGAACTTTATCTATATCCTTTATTGATTCCTTTCACCCTTAAATACTTCTATCATATCTCCCCGCACTCTTCGTCTTTCTAGGGAATGCAAGTTAAGTTTCTTTAGCCTATCCTGATATGGAAGTTTCTAAGTCGGAATCATTTTGTCATTCTTCGCTGCACCGACTCTAGTGAATTTATATCCATTCTATAATAGGGCACCAGAACTGAACCGCATAATCGAGGTGTGGCCTGACTAGCGCAAGATATAGTTGCAATAAGACCTCTGCACTCTTGTTACTTACACTTGTAGATATAAACCCATTACTCTGTTTGCCTTATTTCGAACATTAACACACTGTTTTCTAGGCCGTAGGTCCGGGCTTCTAAGTACCCAAGGTCTCTTTCACATCGACTTCTCTAGGTTGATGTTGTTAAGGCTGTATACATTATAAGTTATTTGTTCTTCCAATATTAAGTACCTTGCACTTGCTGGTGTTGAATTTCATTGCCATTTTCAGACCACCTGCAGTTATTTAGATCCTCCTGTAATGCATTTGCATCCTGCCTGAATTAATTTGCTGCCCTATTTTAGTGTCATCCGCAAACTTGCTTATGTCACTGCTGATCCCAGTATCTAGATCGTTTATGTAGATTATGAACAAGAGTGGGCCTAGTACTGACCCCAGGAACCCCTCGTTACACCCTCAGATTTAACACCATCTACGCTGACCCTCTGCAGGACCTCACGTGGTCATGGACACACCGGGTGGTGTGGTATTCTCGTGGTGCAGTAACTCGTCCTCTGGTGTTGACATGAGGAACCTCCAGTGATCATGGAGACACGAGGTGGTGTGGTGTTCACGTGGTGTAGTGACTCGTCCTTAGGTGTTCATATGAAGGACCTCACGTGGTCATGGAGACACCGTGTGGTGTGGTGTCACAGTACCTCCTCTCTGCTAGGTAGTGTTGTGTTATTTTGTAGTCAGATGTAAAGCCGACCCACTGCTGTTCCCAGGGTGGAAAGTTTAGCTCCTCCTGGTCAGAAGATGGTGGTTGGTTCCCCAGGATGCTTATCTCAGTGGTGGGTCACTGCTGTCACTGGTTCTGTCTAGTGCTGAATTCACTGACTTAAGCATTGTTCATCACTGTTCAACACTGATCCCACTTCTTTTGGAAACGGAGTCGTCACTTTGACGGGATTATGTTGATATCCCGGTGGTGAGGATGGGTTGCGTAGTGGGACTTAGGAATGGGTCAACATTTGGCAAGGGGCAGAGCAGCGCCTGACAGGTCTTGACCTCCGGTGATCAAGGATGTGTGTGTGTGTGTGTGTGTGTGTGTGTGTGTGTGTGTGTGTGTGTGTGTGTGTGTGTGTGTGTGTGTGTGTGTGTGTGTGTGTGTGTGTGTGTGTGTGTGTGTGTGTGTGTGTGTGTGTGTGTGTGTGTGTGTGTGTGTGTGTGTGTGTGTGTGTGTGTGTGTGTGTGTGTGTGTGTGTGTGTGTGTGTGTGTGTGTGTGTGTGTGTGTGTGTGTGTGTGTGTGTGTGTGTGTGTGTGTGTGTGTGTGTGTGTGTGTGTGTGTGTGTGTGTGTGTGTGTGTGTGTGTGTGTGTGTGTGTGTGTGTGTGTGTGTGTGTGTGTGTGTGTGTGTGTGTGTGTGTGTGTGTGTGTGTGTGTGTGTGTGTGTGTGTGTGTGTGTGTGTGTGTGTGTGTGTGTGTGTGTGTGTGTGTGTGTGTGTGTGTGTGTGTGTGTGTGTGTGTGTGTGTGTGTGTGTGTGTGTGTGTGTGTGTGTGTGTGTGTGTGTGTGTGTGTGTGTGTGTGTGTGTGTGTGTGTGTGTGTGTGTGTGTGTGTGTGTGTGTGTGTGTGTGTGTGTGTGTGTGTGTGTGTGTGTGTGTGTGTGTGTGTGTGTGTGTGTGTGTGTGTGTGTGTGTGTGTGTGTGTGTGTGTGTGTGTGTGTGTGTGTGTGTGTGTGTGTGTGTGTGTGTGTTATACTCTAGAAAGTTATAGAAGTCAACATGTGTTCAGTCGGCAGAATGAGAGAAAAGCAAGTGTGTAGACAGAGTCACTAGACCTGACAAAAGAATATTATAATAAGATGACATACGTCAGGACGAGGAATGTGTGAGGCAGCTCATATAAGCGGTGCACGGTGAAGGATTTCTACAGAGGAGAACTTGTGTTAAGACAGGCGGGAAAAAAACAAGTGTGGTGTGGGTGGGGTAAGACAGGTTGTTTATTGTCTTTACTGATGACGTTAGAACAGCGGGTTACTGGCTTATGGTTTATCAAGTATGGGTGGAAGAAGAAGGTAATGGGAGAGGGAGGTGTTCTGTTCATACGATGTTACAATTTTTAACGTTAAGTCAAATAACAATATGGTATTACGAGAGAATTTGTTGTTGTTGTTGTGTGTGTGTGTGTGTGTGTGTGTGTGTGTGTGTGTGTGTGTGTGTGAACACAGGATGAGGTTATAATGTTTGTTGATCCAGTAGTGACGTTTGAGAAAGACAATAAGTTTGTGAGATGCGGTATGATAATGCCTGCAGCATCATGATGGAGCATACAAGCTGTAGTGTTGGATTATAATTAAAAGTTGGAGGGAAAGGGCAGTGAACAGCGAGATGGATGGGAAGTAAGATGGGGAACTGACAAAGGTAAAGGGTTAAAAGTGAGGTGGATGAACGTCTTTTATGTGTGAACAAAACCTACCGTGGTCCTGACTAGTGTTAGTGGTGGGAGGCTCCCGAGACGGCCACCCACCCAGTGCTCTCATGAAGTGCACGCTGGAGATGGGACCCCCGCCAATAATGGCTGATTTTATCATGACTTTGTGGAGAAATTTTAAAAGTCGACACTTTTATTCTAGTTTTAGAGCGCTAAGGTCATGCACATTTCCACAGTTAATGGTAGAACGTTTAACACTTGCAGCTAATCGACCAGAGTGTTACAGTACCATTTGCGCAAGTCTTGGGGTGGCTGTGAGTGTTGTACTGTATCTTCCCTTTAACTGTCGCAGAATATTATGTTAACATGGAATTACTGTAGAAAAAAAAATCCCAATACATACAATTTAGGCAGAAAAGTTTAGTGACATGAAATATTCGTCACCCGCGAGAACTCATGTTTGATCGTGAGTCACTGAGGCAGCCACTAGGCCTCTGGAGCACTAGTGTGTGTACCGAGCATTATAGGTGAACACTGCCTAGATTACTGAAGTGTCGTATAGTATCTTGTGAATGTATATTACATTGTATACATATTATTTGCTTATGTATACAGTATTCATATTTAGTACATTCCACTAACATGTATTTTAGATTAATTCACAGGGCAGACGAGTGTAAACGCTTCCACAATTTACTGAGGAATGAGGATTATATCTGGAATGTGCAGTGCTCGCGTTGCTGAGTTTAGAGCTAAGCTTTTTTATCTGCTATAATAAAAGTCGTGTATGCGGAGTATGTAATAAATACGACAACCAAGTATTATTTTTCTAATTTCTTTAATTCTGTTTCATATCAAAGTCTTTGTTGGTTGTTCAGCTTCTGATTATTAAAAGTTCTTTTTCATAATTATGAATACATTTACCTTGAAGATTTTCAGCAGATCTGCAACGAATTCTCTTAACAAAATGAAGCTCAATCTTGTCACCGTATTTTGATATTGATTTATTGTAATATATAATCCACTAATTTTCACCTGAACATACACCGCCCAAACTTCGAAACGTGGTCTGAAAAATGAACGAAGAATCCGAAACCATTCCGAAATGATGAGTCCCATTCTGTTGATTCTCACATCCGTCGTGCCCAGGTGTTGGAGAATTTTTTGTTCAGACTGTACATTAGATCTTTCTTTCTCCTGGAGTGTCATTCAGCCGAGCGAAGAAAACGAAATTCCTTGTGAATTAAATAAATCCCTATAACTTAATAACTGAAGCTGGCAGTCCCACACAAGAACCTCCTCTAATGCACTTTCATACTAAATTTGTAGTCAACCCGTCTAACTTATGGAGATTAATCGAGTGGACACTAAGATGACAATTGCACACTGATAGACGGACGAATGGACTAACAGACACGTACGAACGGACGAAGGGGCTGACGGAGAACATCACTCCTATAGTCCCCCCAAAAAAAAATCAATCTGGGAGAAAAAATAAGTTAGCACAAGTCCAGAGTAAGTTAACGGCCTGACCATCGCTCTAAACAAATATCATGAGAGAATTTAACTAATTTTCTGTCACCTGAAGTTACTAGAGTTATGTATATGTAAATTAATAATTTATACCATAATTGTGGGAAGTTTTTACCTAAACAAATATAATTATCATTGTATTTCGCCCATATTAAGCAAATGAATCTTTTGCAATTACACTATTTAGAACTAAAAATGTGGGATGAATTCTACGCACTGGCAAATATGTGATGCTTTTCATTAAACAGTTATCATGGATAATTTTATACTTAGACTACTGTATACATACATACATACATACATACATACATACATACATACATACATACATACATATGTGCATACATACATACATACATACATACATACATACATACATACTGACCATCACCACGACCTCATCTGCAAATTTGGTAAGAAGTTTCTACACCATCCTCGACACCGGCTCCTACTACCACCCGAGATCCCTAGCCCGAGAATTGCTGTTCGACACCACAACCGCATCCAGCCCATACGTGCACGAACTGATCGCTAAGAACAGCCCAGTCCCAACCATTGTAAAAATTATCAATAACTTGTAATAAACCAGTGTATTCACTCCCAGTAAACACATGCACACATTCACATTATCAAATAAACATGGAATACATTATATACATGCACAAATATGATACGTCTGTATATAGTAACTATCTCCTGACGTGTCTGTGTGTACTGTACATCGGGGGCATGGATAAAGATGCTGACACAGTTGGTAATGTAACAGAACCGCCATTTAACAGATAGAATGTCACTCGATCTGGAAAAAACATTCACATGCTTGAAATGAAGATCACGTGACCTAGGTTAACACTCGTACTCGTCAGTTAAAGTGAAGCTTACATGACCTAGGATAACACTCGTACTCGTCAGTTAAAGTGAAGCTTACATGACCTAGGATAACACTCGTACTCGTCAGTTAAAGTGAGGCTTACATGACCTAGGTTAACACTCGTACTCGTCAGTTAAAGTGAAGCTTACATGACCTAGGATAACACTCGTACTCGTCAGTTAAAGTGAAGCTTACATGACCTAGGATAACACTCGTACTCGTCAGTTAAAGTGAAGGCCGAGCGACCTTAAAGCGAAATTCCTGTGAATGTTTTGCCCGCCTGGGAGCGTCGAGAGAATGTGTTATTAGACTATTCCACAAGTTCTTTTGTTTGTTTGTTATTAAATAGCTCTTGGGTGTGATTTTTTTATTATTATTATACTCAACAGGGAAAGGCAGGATGCTAAGAGTGGGTGGGAGGATGAGGGGTGACCTTATCTCTCTGCATAATGTGGATGAGAGGCAAGTGGGGAGAGTATATTGATGTTTTTGTGTGGGTGTGTTGATGTGCGGATGTTTTTATGTGGTTTTATTTTAAGTCTATGTGGTTTTATGTGGATGTGTTTTGTGTGTATGTGTTTTGTGTGGAAATTTTTCATGTGGATGTGTTTTGTGTGGATGTGTTTATGTACGGATGTTTTTATGTGGTTTTATTTTAAGTGTATGTGGTTTTGTGTTGATGTGTTTTTATGTTAATGTATTTTTGTGTGGATGGGTTTTTGTGTGGCTGTTTTTCTGTGAATTTATTTTGTGTGGATGTGTTTTTATGCGGATATGTGTTTGTATGGCTGTGTTTTAATGTGTATGTGTTTTAAGTGGATGTATTTTGTGTGGATACGTTTTGTGTGGGCGTGTTTTTATGGCATGAGAGAGAGAGAGAGAGAGAGAGAGAGAGAGAGAGAGAGAGAGAGAGAGACCATTGTAATAGTGTTTACCCAACAAAGACCTGTCAGTTCTCTAGCTTACACCAGCATCTGGGTGACCCTCGCTGTGTGGTGTGTGTTGGCTCCGCCTGGTGGGTGGCCTAGCCAAGGAAAACAATTATGGGGTTATTTAGTCACCTGGAGGTCGGGGGCTTTATTGACACGAGGCTTCCGGATACTGCTGATGGTGGTGACGGTGTGAATCCTGTCAACGAGTGAACATATGTAGGCTGAGAGAAAGGCAGGATTTGTAATGCCTCTTCTAATAGCAGCAGCAGTACGGTAAGCCTGTGGGCGGAGGAGTTCTTGTGGTGGGAGGTGGAGGGGTGAGTTTGGGTGGGTGGGCGGGCGGCGGGGAGTCAGGTCGTAGTTTATTGATATTTGCCGGAGCTGCTAGAGTGAATGTTGTTGGGTGGTGGTGAGGATGCTGACTGTGGCGTGCTACTCCTTAAACACCGTCTACAACTCTACACACTTGTTTCTTGGTTATATTTCCCTGAATGTTTTTTTTATCTCCTAATGAAGATTTTGGTGCAAGCTGTTTGTCACAAGCATATTCTCTTTGTAATATCTTTATGAAATTTGGTACAAATTGGTGTGATCTTCACTTTAAGTGATCTTGATGCTGATTTCATCAGTGCTCAATATTGACGTTTACAAGTATGTTATGTGAGTCGCTGTTGTTGTAGTTATATCAATTCTGCTTAGCTTACCACTATAATTTTTTCCTAACAAGTGATGAGTCCTGGGTTTGATTCCCGACAGGAGAGGAGGGTTAGGTTTCCCCCTCGTACACTACCCTTATATACACATTATATTCACTGTACTAAATGAGTATGTTATCGAGGGTATCTGCCGTGGCGGCACAACTTGTCGAGGGGCCAACATTCTCCCAAGAGGAGGGACACGTTAATTCTTGAATCTGTCCTGCACCTGTCCTGCTACCCTCCTCTATACCAGGAATCTAAATCATATGAAAATGCATGTGTTATTGTCCAAACTCCAGTTTCCTAGTTAAAAAAAAAAGCCATGATATTGCCCGGAGAAGCAACCATGCTTCGCACGGGGAGGTGTGTGTGGGCGGGTGTACAGTTCTGGTCAAAAGTTCACTTCCAACGAGGAAAGTTGAGTCACGGGAATGAATCTCCGAACTTGCTTACACTGAACATCGTACGGTACAGGTATGCTATTTTATTTAGTTTGGGATCGATACTGATTCAGTAAAGCATAGAACGAAATTTTGACCCAGGCTGTACTGGACATGACTCGTAGCAGTTGACGTTTAATGCACAATCTCTGAACAAAATTTTCCCCGCCAGTCTGGGAAAGGGGGTTTAGTGACGAATACTGTACTTGTGTGGTGTACACACTCACAAGATGTGACATACAAAATTTTATAAGGCTTTTGTTCCTGGCAGGCTTTTGAAGTAGTGTAGGAATTTCCCTTTTAACGTCAGCTTCTCGAGTTTGAGGAAACTGGGAGGTTCACTTTAGTCCTGGAGGCCGCACACCTGCTGCCTCGCCTCAGTATGGGTAAGCTAATGGAAAATTTTCCGATAGTTTTATGTGTGAACACAAGAAGATTGATGGTGAAGGTAAGAAAACTCGTGTATATATATATATATATATATATATATATATATATATATATATATATATATATATATATATATATCCACTATTTGTTCGTTAACTCGAAGCTTGCATCTAGTCAGGCGTACTGGCGGTGTCACGTCTGTTTTATGCGAATTTTTCCATTTTAGTTAAATGATCAGGTTAGGTTACATTAGATTATGTTAAATCGCATAAAACAGACGATCGCCCAAATGAGAA